CCCCATTGTTTTAATTTGCATTTTCCCATTTACTGATAAAATGGATCCTGTCTCGTACATATGAATTTTCTCTGGGTGTTTCTTTGTATTATAGTTTCTACCTTTTCTGTTTCTTCCATCGAGCATTGTCCTTTTCTTTGATTTTATGTTCTTTATACATCCCGGATATTAATCTTTGTATAACATGTATTATTTTCTCTAACCTGTCACTTAAAAAATATTGTTTGTGGTGTTCTTTATCATACACATTGTTAAAAAAATGAAATTCAACTGAGAGTATTTAAAGATATTGGCTTTATTCAGTGATTCATGAATTGGGCAGCATCCCATCCAGTAGATGGAAAGGTGTTCCGAGGAGCTGTACAAAATGTACAAAATGCCTTTATAGGCAGAAGGGGGGAGAAATAAGAAGTGTCTAGCAAAGAGTGTTTCAGGCAAAGTCACCTTTCACTAGTGGAAGGCAGGGCTCTATCAAGTAGTGTTCACCAGCCTTGACCAGGTAACTCCATATTGACTGGTTCCCAGGAGGGGCGGAAGCTGCAGTTAGGTTAGGTATTAAGTCTTGGTTTGCTGATGGGGCTTAGCACAGTGACTCCATTTTGGATCTGTTGTTTCTGTTTTAACAACAAAAATTGTTTTTTTAGGTAAGAAATCTGTCGGTGTTTTTCTTCCTGGCTTCTGTGGTGGGGAGGGGAGCTGTTGCAGAGAGAGGGGTGCAATCCTCTGGGGAAAGGGTGGGTGAGCAGAAGACTGAAGCCCATGAAGACCCATTTCCTCAGGGAAGGTTTCATCTGTGAAAATACCAACAGTTGCAGGGAGCACTGTGTTTCCCGACAGTGGGCCTGAGCTTGCCTGTTGGAGCCCGGCTAGGGTGAGGGTGAAGCCAGACCTGTTGTCCTGGGCTGAGTCTTGCCTTGTGCCAGTGACTGGAAGATCACAGAGATTTGCTGAGACTCCCTCCTTTGTGCTTCTTCTTGGGGCTGGCACCCGCCACTTTCCTTCAGGGTCCAGTCTCTCTCCCCAGCAGCTTGGAATACAACGCCTCAGATCAGGGGCCCTGCAGGGCAGGGGGAAGGGAGCAACCAGCTGTGTGCCCACAGCCAGAACATGCCTCCTGGCTGGCCCTCTGGTTGCAGAGCTACTTCTCCTTGCCCCATCTCTCCCATCCCCGACATTCTCTCCTACCCTTTTCCCCAACCCCTCATCTCCTGTCAAGGGCAAAGGCTTCCTTTGGGGAAGTGGGAAGCATGGGGTAATGGGCTCTATGGGAATAGGGAAGGAGCGAAGAGGAGCCAGGAGAACATCTCCCCTAAGGGGCATGGATGGTCTCCGGGTCCTGAGAGTCATCACTTTTCCCCGCCGCCCACACACAGCAGTCACAGGAAACTGAGATGCTCTTGGCTCCCCTGGTCCCAGCTTTCACCTCCCCATTTGGGAGGGGCAGGAGCGCTGGGTGGGCAGGGGAGGAGTTGAAAAGTCCCTGGAGGAAACTGTGGTCAACTAAGCACTGTCCCACTCTTTTTTCTCTCTCTCTGCACACTGTCTCTCTGCAAACTGTCATTTCCTGGGTGTTGGTTTTACCTCTCTTCCCCAGAAGGATGGGCTAAAGACAGATGACAGAGTCAGAGGGTCATTTGGGTCCTGACCACAGTCCTAAGTCCCATTCGGCCCCGTAGGCCTTTTATCCAGGTCTAAGTGGTGGGCCAGGGATGTGTGTCCACCCTGGGAGGTTTTGTGGGTGCTGGAGGTGTAGGACGATGGGAGGTGCAGGGAGGGTCTCGGGCAAAGGTGGGGAGAGGAGAGCTGAGAGCAGAGGGAGGAGAGTGTGCCGGGCCAGGGTCCTCAGAGGGGCTGGTGGGAGAGGAAGGGGCTGGCTCAGGTGGGCAGAAGCAGCCTCAGTGCTGCCCCCCTGGCCCATACCTTAGTTCCTTCTGTGGCCCGACCTCCTGAGGCTTGTGACATGTCACTTGAAAAAATAAGTAGATGAAAGAATCTAACAGATTTTCCTTTAGTGAATTTCAGAGGTTTTAGAATCAGGAAAATATTGATGTATATACATAATTTACAAAGGCAAGAGAAAAAAAACCCCAAGAAAGCTGGTGTGATATGTGTGAGATTCTAGACGCAGCCCTCGCAGAGATCCGCCAACTGGTGTCAAGTCCAGGGCCTCATAGAGACCTGAGCACGTTGCTGGGACTGTGGTTTCGATGGTGGCTTCATTTGCATCTGATGACACCCAGGTGGAACCCTTGGGTGTATCAGTCATCGGGGCCACTGGGGGGGGGGCGGTGGGGGTAAGTCAGTCCTTGGAAGGGGTTGCATTTTTCTCATCAGTGGGCCTCAAAGAGTGCTTTATTGTAACGTCTCCATGGGAATGGGGTCTGGTGGGGGGGGTGGGGAGGAGGCATTTGTCTAATTTCCAGAGAGGAGCAAGATGTGCCTGCGGCAGACAGGTCACAGGAGCTCAGAGTCCAGGTACTCCACTCCACTTCTTTATTTTTAACTCACTGTATTCTTTATGCGGAAGTATTTTAAAATACATTGCAGATATCCTGACATTTCACCCTTAAATAATTCAGTATGCAGCTCTGAAAAAAAAAAATAAAAGAGCTTCTTGCTACATAGTAGATTAACATTATCATAGCCAATGCAATTAAAAACCATTTAATAGGCTGTACTACCCAGTCCATATGAGCAGAAATTCTGATCTCTGCAAGCGAGACCGCCAATTTCCCCAGAATGCCCCTCCTTGGACCTGGTGTGGAGCCTGGTCCTCGAAGGAACCCAGAAGGGAGGCTGAGGACTACAAAAAAAGGAGGTGGATTTCTGAGGAAAAGATCCCAAGCCTGGGAGCCTGAATTGTCCCTGGGTACCACCATGCTGCCGGACTCTTAGGGTGGGACAGGGGCTTCAGCCCCTTCCTGGGACCTTGTGTCCTCGCTAGGGAGCACATGAGGTCTTGGCTACTCCAAAGACTAAAGTTGACTCCATAGCAAAGCTCCTCATTAAGATGCGTGTTTTTTCCATACCACCAAGCAATTAACGCAATTCTTCACGGACACTGGGTGTTCCACAAATGGAACTTCGTTCTGACACTATGGACCTGGGGTCAGCATCAGATCCCACAGGTTAAGGGCTCGGTCCCAAAAGACTGCCCCCACTATAGACCCCAGTCACAAGTCCCAGGTTGTCACCTGCGCTTCTAACCGGCTACAAATCGGGGGTTCCCACAACCCCCTCCTCGGGCTCCACTAATTTGTAGAGTGGCTCACAGAACTCAGAAAACTTGTTGACTCACTAGATTACTGGTTTATTACAAAGGATTACCAGTTTATTACAAAGGATATTAAAGGGTATGAGGCCAACAGTCAGAGGAAGCAATGCATAAGGTGAGTTTCAGAGCGCAAGAGCTTCTGTCCCAGGGCTGCTTGGGGCCTGATACAGGGGCACGTGGAAGCATTCAGCTTCCCTGGTGTGGATGTGCCGCAAGCCCCGTCCTTCCTTGGATTTTTTGGAGGCTCCCTTACATAGGCACCATTGATTAAATCACTGGTCATTGGTGATTGATTAAACTTTCAGCCCCTCTCCCCTCCTGGGAAATCAGGGGCTGGGATTAGAAGTTCCAACCTTCTAACCACAGTTGGTTCCCCTGGCAACCAGCCCCCATCCTTAGGGGGTTTCCAAACGTCAGCACATTAACATAAACTCAGAGGTGGTGGCAAGGGGCTTGTTATGAATAACAAGTCACCCATGTCACCTTTATGGCTCTGAAGCCATTTTGGGAACTGGAGACAGAGACCAAATATGACAAAAGATGCTTCCATCTCAGGAGCAAAAGAGGCTTTGATTGGGGCACCCGGGTGGCTCAGTCGGTTAAGTGTCCGACTCTTGATCTCAGCTCAGGTCTTCATCACGGGGTCCTGAGTTCAGGCCCCATGTTGGGCTCCATGCTGGGCATGGAGCCTACTTTAAAAAAAAAAAAAAAGAGGCTTTGATTGCTCAGGAGATTCCAAGGATTTTAGCAGCTGTGAGCAGGAACCGTGGATGAAGACCACAATAAACATGTATTATAAATTGCAATATCACACTCATCCTTGCTGGGCTCCTTCTGCCACTCTCTGGTGCTCACCAGTGTCCCACTTCTCCCATCCCCTCCCCAGCCACTCCCGTCCAACTTTGTTCCCACGCCATTGTTCCTTCCCTCTGTCCGCACTGGAATCTTCTATAGGGCCCCTCCACCGATAGACTCTGAGTTCAAGGGCTGCTGGCTCCTTTTGTCTGTTTGTATCTCATGGTGCTCTGTCCCTGGCAACCCAGCCAGGTGCAGGAAAGTTCATCTCATGCCCATCGGCTTAGCCTCCTGTGGAAGGGGCTTTAGAACTCGTCTTCATCCCCTTCGTTTACCAGAGAAGAACAGAAGTTCAGAGAGGGGCAATGACCTGCCTAAGCTTATACAGGGCTGAGCTGAGACAATTAATCGGGGTCTTATTTCCAAGCCTTGCTCACCCTGTGCCCCTCTGCTCACTGGGCTTATGTGCAGTGCCCTTCCCTGCTTAGAACAGCACTGACGGGGGTTTCTGGGCATCCAGGGGCCAATGGGAGAACTGAGGATAAGAAGGGACATGATGGAGAAAATAGGGCAAAGTGGAGAAGTTCGTTCCCTGGAGATCAAATGTGGGAATGCAGAACAGTTTTAGAATTTGAAGAAAACTTAGGCTGGCTCAGGTGGAGCAGCGTGTGACTCTTGGTCTCGGGATCGTGAGTTCGAGCCCCATGTTGAGTGTAGAGATTACTTAAATAAATAAAACTTTAAGAAACAAAATAAAACAAACAAAAAAAGAATTTGAAGAAAACTTAGGAAACAATATATAATCACATAATTTTATAATTTGCAAGGCTTGTCCATTTGCATTGTTTATCTAAGTCCTCCCAATAGTATGGTGGTAATATTTATCTCCCTACAGGTGAGGAAACCAGTCTGGAGAAGGTCAATGACTTACTGAAAGTGGCAGGTAGCTTTACTGGCATCTGGACTCCTGAGTTCCATCAGTGTTTTCCACTGCATGTCCCACCTGCAATCAGAGCAGGAATCCAGGAGGGGGAGGTCAGGCACTGTGTCAGAACAGCACCCAGATGCAGAGGCAACCCCTTTCCCATCCCATTACACTGGTTTGGTCACCACAGCCTCCCAGCAAGGAAGAAGGCTACCCCTGGCCACTGCTGGCCCAAAGAGAGTTGTCAGTGAATATGCATGTGTTTTGGGCCTAGGTTGGTCAGTTTCTTCACCCTGATTCTCTCCTGTGTTCCTCTTTGCTGTCCACCAAGAAAAGGAGCCGACTCCCTGTAGGCTCTCTGTGCCTTCAGCTGAAATTAGCTCTGAGTTGCCCCTGCTGTGGAACAGGTGAGTCCTCTTCTTACTATACTTCATTCCCTCTTAAAGCTCAGCATTTGTTCATTGTGTCCTCCATATATCTGATGCTACTTAGTAATCCAGTATATATCATCCTACTTAGTAATCCAAATAGCTTGGCTATTATCAGTTCTCCCTTTACGGCTGAGGAGCTTGGGCATAGAGACCTGAAGAACATTCTCCAAATTCACTGAGCCAGTAGGGGAGAAGGAGAAGGAATCCTTGCTGTGTACTGGCAGAAGGTTTAGCAATATTGCCACTTGCAGTCATGTGGAAAGTAGAAAAAATATGTAATGAACTGGGTGGTATAGCTAAGGTCTCCAGGCGAAGTGTTGAGGATGCTGCCTGGTTTCCTCTTGTGGCTTATTGGAAACTGTGAGCGCAGGGAGGTAAACTATAGGCAGGACTATTCAACACAAAGGAGCTGGATCCTGATGGCTTTGAAAATTCTCAGGATCTCCACACAGTGAATGATGCTGAAGTGAAACCCAGGGCGCTTTCAGGAAAATATGGTCTAAAGATGAAACCAAGGGTGGCTGTGGAATCCCTTGTTAGGACCTGAGAAAGATAAAGGTAATGCTTTAGACAAAGGACCCCTAAGGAGCTTGAGGGTGTGTGCCTCATGGATTCCTTCAATGAAACTCAAGGGCTTCTATGATGCTAAAAGATATGACCCCTCAGCTTCTCAGCAGAAGCCCAACATAGGGAAGAGACCTTATCTTGAAGAGATTTGTGAGTATGGCTTAGCGGATTTCAATAAGAGTCACAGGAGACCCACACATTTTTTAGAGAGCGATATTCACAAGACAGCTTGGACTGAAAGGAACAGAGTATACAATTTAAAAAAGGCCTTTGTATCCTCCCAATTCTACTGGAAGGAATCAGGTTGAGAACACTGTGAAGATGTACATACAGGCTGCCTTTCATGGAAAGTGAAGGATGCCTCAGAGTGCAGACCCAGGAGCCCAGCATGAGGGGCCAAGAGCCACGATGAATCATTCCCAGGTAGAAGCAGGGCAGAGTCCAAATCAAGGAATTTCCAACATCTGTCCAGCAGAGCTCCAGTTTTTCCATGGATCAGTGCCCTGTTGGCCTCCCAGGGATATCTCTTGTGCTAGCCCAGGCCTGTATCACCACTGTATGTTGGGTTTGTATCTGGCAGATAACTCATCTCTTCCACCCACAGGTCTTCAAATGGAGAACTAACTGCACATGAAGAGCTGTATGTAAGGAACTGCACCGAAGGAGCCTCATCCATATCTGGGCCTGATTTAAGCGACAATCTTCTGGACCTTTAAGCGACAAACTTCTGGACCAATTTGCCAACACCATATTCAAGTGAGATTTGCAAAGGCTTTTGGAGGGGATTGTGTGTATCTTTCTTCTCTCCATTTCTTTACCTTTCATTTTTACCTTTTGACTCCCTTCACCCGTGAGTGTATTTTGGGTTGAGTGTATTTTGAATGTGGGAGAAACCTCAATAATTTGTGGCCAGAGGAGGTACTGCGGGGGTTCCATATCTCTTCTTTCAAGAGATGGAGCCCCATCCCTCTCCCTTTGAGTGTGGGCTGGCTCCAGCGACCAGCTTCTGATGAAGTGTGTGTGACTTCGGAAACTAGGTTATGAAAGGCACTGTGACTTCCTCCTCAGTCTTTCTTGGATCAGTCACTCTGGGGAAGTTAGCTCCCACATCATGAAGTAAGGTCCACATAGTGAGAAACTGAGGCCTCATCCTGGTAACCATGTGGGTAAGCCATCTTGGAAGTGGTCTGGTTGTCAAGCTTTCCGATGACCCATTTCTTGCTGACATCCTGACTGCAATGCATGAGAGATTCTGAATCATGAATACCAGTTAAGATGTTCCCAAATTTCTGACTCCCCCCTCCAGACCTATCTTTGAGATAATAAATATGTCATTTGTTGTTTTTTGCTACTAACTTTTCGGGTAACTTATTACACAGCATCAAATGAGTTGGGAGGAAAATGACAAGATTTTGTTGTTACTGTTGTAAGCCAAGGGGAAAAAAAGCATCTCAAGAAGGGAGGAGTGGTGAGTCATATCCAACGCTGCTCATCTTTCCAATATGATGAGTTTTGAGGACTGACCTCTGGAGTTAGTCACTGGAGACTGGGGGAAGATGTTTCAGGGAGTGGTACAAACAAAGGCCTAATTGCAGTGGGTTCAAGAGACAACAAATAGAGAGATATTGGGGGCTGAGAAAAACTTCCTAAATGGGTTTTGTCATAAAGGGCAATAAAATGTGGAGCAGTAGGTGGAGGTGCTGTGGGGTCAAGAGAGAGTTTTTAATACATCATAGCCCATTTATATTCTGGTTGTCATGACACATGAGAGGGGGGCGAAATTCTGGAGCAATTTTCTTATGTAGGACAAGAGAAGATGGGATGGGTCCTATATGGAGAGTTTGGCCTGTGATGGGAACAGGGAGAAGAGAGTGCACTTGGGGTACAGAAGGGGGATGATTGATGGGTGCAGTTGGACCAAAGAGGCCTTGTTGTTCTCAGTGAGTTTAGATGCAAGGGCACCAGCTGAGGGTGAAGAGAGGACACTGGAGTTTGAGGGTCCAGAGGGTGGTGTGAACTAGAGGGCTAGAATGGAGACCACTTGTGTACAGGGAGACACTTCGCATGATAGGTTGATTTTCTCCAGCCATGTTCAGCTTTAGGACAAGATGCAGGATGGAGCAATGGAAAGCTGGATACCACCAGGACTGGAGTTGTGCCAGAGGAGTTCAATGAAAGCAGAGGGGGAAAAGGAACTGAAACTGTGTGCCAAAGAGTGATTGTAAGGATGGGCCAAGGAATCCAAGGGAAAGGAAACCATGAGTGAGTTGAGGGAGGGGAAAAAATGGCAGGACTAGTGGATCAGGGATCCCAATGGTGTTGAAAAGGCACTGTGATCAGGTCAGTAGGCTTGAGTTAGAGAGACAGGTGGTGGCTGGAAGGTGGGTGCTCCGAGTTGAGACCAAGGAGGGGAGCTGCTATTCCTGCTGACCATCTGAATGGGTGGCCAAGGCAGGGAAGGGGATGTGATCATTGTGGGAGAGGAGGTCAGGAACTGGGAGGCCAAGGATTTGGAAGGATCATCTATGAGTCCAAGTGGGCCCCAGCTCACCAAGGATGATGACAAGAGCCATGGGAGTGACCGTGAGCCAGGGGTTAAGGCCAATGAGAAGAAAGAGGGAGACTCCAGATTGTATAGGAGATGTGATAATAATGGGGTCTATGGTATAGTCTGATGACAGGAAATCAAATCGTGGAGCTGCTTTAGGGAGGGTAAGAAGAAAGGAAGTGGCAATGAGGAGTGAAGAGGACACCCTTCCCACCTCAGGCCTCGTGGTGAAGGAAAGTGAAATGTCCCCAACTACAGAGAGAGCAGTGTTCTCAGAAGAGAGGCAGATTTTAGTGAACATAGGAAGGTGACCTACAGAGAAGTTGAGACCATGAGTGCTCATGTTTCAGAGGGCAGAGAGAAAAGATTGATGGATTTGGGGAAGAGTGGGAAATGGGGCTAACTTGATGAATTCACAAGGTCTTATTGCAACGCGATCCTGGGTGATGAGGGAGGACCAGGGAGCCCTGGGCTCTTATGATTGGGATGGATAGGGAAAAAGGAATGAAACCACAAGTCTAAGGGTTCCAGCACTGGCTGTAGGGGGGCGGGGTGGAGAAGGGGCCAGGAGTTTTTACAGGAGCAAATGGAGATCTGGGGTCTTGCTCAGTCCTGCCCATGGTGGTGGGAGTGGGGAGGGGTGGTTTGATGGAAAATCTTAGTCCCGTCTGCTCCCGCTAAGGAGGTATGGAAGCTGTGTGAGGGAAGTGGTGGTAAATGGGTAAAAATTATATAAATCCATCTTCAAGGATGGAGAGGGAGCTCCATGGACGTCTTAAAGCTGGGTAACAATTGGGTGACCTTAGTGGACCAGAGAAAGGTGGGGGTAGGAGAAATAAGAAGTGAGTCATTTTTACCTTAGGAGCCCAGAAAGCCCTAGAAATTGGAGGCGTGGGTAGTCCAGGATGCAGACTACAAGTGGGGGGCTGGGGTTGAGAAGCAGTCGGACTCGTAGTTTCTCTGCCTCCCCTGAGACAGAGCGAGTGGGTCAACTGCCCACATCCTTTCTCTTTCCGCTCTTTAAGCCCCGCTGACAACCTGCAGGTTAGTCTCTGACGAGGGCTGAGTCACACAGATGCCCAGTCAGGGCACCAGGCACCATGGAGAGGGAAAGTGTATTCCACTTGGTGCCCAAGTGAGTGAAAACAGATGCTGGGCAGAGAGGCCCCTTTGCTTTGCTACAGTTGGTGCCTAAAACCACGCTTCCACCCCCAGGAGGACAGTTCAAAGAGCCTTTTTGGAGAAACTGAGCTGTCAAAGAGAAAAAAAATGCAGCCGGGCTTGTCTTAGTCCACTTGGGCTGCTGTAACAAAAATACCATTGACTCGGTGGCTTACGAAACATTTATTTCTCACAGTTTCAGAGGCTGGGAAGTCCAAGACCAAGTTGGCGGTGGATTCTGTGTCTGGCGAGAACTTCCTGCTTCATACAGGGCTGTCTACTTGCTGTGTCCTCACATGGTAGAAAGAGCCAGAGAATGCTGTGGGGCCTCCTTTATAAAGGCACCAATCCCATTCATGAGGGCTCCTCCCTCATGAGCTAGTCACCTTCAAGGCCCCCCTGCAAATACCATCATCTGGCGGGGGGTTTAGGATTTCAACATATAAATGGAGAGGGGGTACATAACAGTCCATAACAATGCCCTCGCCAAATCAATGTAGGGTCCATAAAGCTCTGTAATACACACGGAGCATCCAAGCTTTTAACTCCTGACGGGCTGCCAAGAAGCAGCACAGGTTTCCAGAAAGTTCTGAGGAAAGACAGAGGTCAAGGAAAGGAGAAAACAGAAGATACAAAAAAGTATTTGGAGGAAACGGAAGATACACAAGGCTTAAAAAAAAAAAAACCCTCAAAAGTGAAAACTTTAATATTGCCCGAGAAAAAATGGCATCCCCAAAGAAAACATGCATGCTGTAGAGGAACATTCAGAGAACAAATGGACCATTTAGAAATGTTAAGATGTGGTAGCATAAATAGTAAATCTTCGAATAGAAGAGCTGGAACGTAACCTTGAGGAACTTTCCCAGAAAGAGGAATAACGAAAAATAGATGAAGAACAGGAGGGAAAAGAAAGAGGCTCAGTCTGGAAAGTCTGACATTGAGAGAGTAAGTGCCAGAGAGACAATAGCCCTACGAGGGGCAGAGCTTGGGGTCACACCAGGCTGGTTTCTGTTGTGGAGCCTCCTGCTCAGCTGGTGCAGGAAAAAGGAGGGTCACTCTTCTCTAGAGCCTGCAGCCATCTTGGTGGCAGTGACACGGGCAACATGGGGGGTGCACAGTGACATGGTGACAAGGGGTGGCCGAACCTGGCAGAGCATGAGGCCCCAGTCATGACACTGGACTCCACCCCCATGTAGTAAAAGTGCACAGGGGTGTTGTTGAGAAGGAATGGATAAGGAGGAACAATCCAGGAGGTAGGGACCAAAGGCAGGTGACTGACAGACTGGCCGAGTACAAGTGCCCGGTGGTGGGGATTTGCAAAGTGGGAGGAAGAGGAGGGAGAGGTGGAAACAACAGAGAGAAGCAGAACAGAGGGTCTTGGCAGAGTGTGGCTGAGCAAATGGAGATGGGGAGGGAGGTGTTAGTGACCTGGGATCTTGGCTGAGCTGCAGGGCTGCAGATAGGAGGGGCAAGGGGAGGGAAGAAGGGGGATAAGGAGGAGGGGAAGGAGAGGAGGAAGGGACAGGGAAGACGGGGAGGGGAGCGGGAGGATGGGAGCAGGGGCATGAGGAGCAGGGCTGGGGAGGAGGTGGTGGGGAGAGGAGTCGGAGTCGCCCACAGTGCTGGCTCGGGTTTGGTGGGCAGCTGCTGCACTGGCCTTCGGCTCCCATACCTGGATGGTGCTGTCCCAGATGCCAACTGCCTGTGAGCCACTAGCGGGCCTGGATCTTGGGAGGAGGCCAGGCTGGGAAATCCTCCGCCCTGGAGTGAGGGGTGTAGTCAAGCGTCTTGGATCAAGTTCTGGGGGACTTCTGCCTTTTCTTTGCAGTGAGCGAAGGGTTCAGAGGCCAGGCAGGGGCTCCCCGGGGGCCTGGGGGAGAATGGCCATCCTTCTTGGACCCCAAGGCCTGGAGTCTGGGCCGAGCTGGGCACGTCAGACACATCCCTCTATGTTGCACGCGTGGACTCCTTAAGGCTCTGAGATGGGGTAGGGAGGGGGGTAGAAATACAGAAAGTGACAAATCCACTCTTGGCTCTTGTTGCTCTGTCCCCACAGCCCGTCCCTCCTTCAGCAAGCCTGCCACCAGGGACTCTTTGTCTTGCCTTTCGCCCAGCCCCACCTACCTTCCCCCTCCTGCGTTCCCCACTCCCCAGGGCACGGTTCTCCGTCCCGTGCACAGCCTCTGTCCCTCGCCATTTGGGAAGGGGCTGTGCCCTGTGAGGTGCCCTGGGTTGTGGCTGTGGGTAGACCTTCCTGGAAGGGCGGGCAGTGGGAGGTTGTATACAGGCCAGTGGTACAGGACGAGGGATGAATCAGAGTGGGAGAGGGGCAGGGGAAGGAAAGGAGGAGGAGAAGAGGCGAGGGAAAAACAGACAGAGAAATGTGGACGAGGCACTCGAGTTCGAGAGAGACACAGGGGAGCCACTAGTGAGCACGCACGATGGATGGAGTCCGTGAGGGATTCCTCTGGACAGCCCTGTTGGGTATAATTTTTCCTGTCTCTGTGTTTGCCGGCTGATTCCCTGTCTGACCATGGGTCCAGGGACAGAAGCTGTTCCCTGCTCCATTTCCCCCCAAGCCCAGGCAAACCCACTCACCGGACAAGCAGGGCTGATAGCACCAGGCTCTTGGCCACAAGCAGTGCACAGAGCATGGGGACCAGAGCACTGGGGGCTGCAGGGTGAGACTGGAGGGTGGAGTTTTGTTGCCTGGAGGACAGGGGACAAGAAGGCGAGAGGAGCGTGTTCGGGGGCAGGCTCACCTGCGGGCCCCTGAGCCAGGGCCGTCTGGGAGAGGGTCCCAGAAGGTCCCACTCTGAACTCACTGTGAAGGGGCGGTGAGGGCAGAGGAAGCCCCGGAGGCCACCCTGACTCTTCCAGTGGGGGGCACAGAGCTCTGGGTCGGTGATGAGACCAGCTCACCGGAAGCCTGGATGGCCTGTGTGGAGGCACGAGCTGTCAGCGAGAGAGAAAGAATCCTCGTTAGCTGGTAGGACAGCATGTCTGTTCTGGCTGGTGGGAAAGATGGGTCAGGGGCCTGGGCTGGACTGGGAACAGCCCATCAACCCTGGAAAAAACCAATTTGTGGTGGTGGGACTGGGCTGTGAAGTCCTGTGGCTCAACACTAGACAGCTGCGGCTCAGGCTCTATCCAGTGCCTGTGGTGTTCCTGGATCTGGGAAGAGCGCTGGAAGAGGAGTCAGGATGCCTGGGCTTCCCTCCAAGCATTTGTACACATCTGGAAGGGCACTCTCTAGCTCTCAGCCTTCCTGAGTGTAGACACAGTCACTGTCTTTAAGCAGCTCTCATCTCTGGCATCCGTTCCTTTTCTCATACTTCTGGGGCTATTAGGGGAAGGGGGTCCCTTATGGGGAACTTTAAGGCTGCTTTCCCACCCCTGTCATTCCTGGTTTGGCAATAGAACCTTAAGCCCCTCTGCAGGCCCCACTGCCTCAGTGGCCTGTGTAAATACCTTTTCTGGGGCCCCCTCTTGATTCTGAAACTTTGTGAGCTACCTGCCCCCCATCCCCACTGCCTTGCCTTCCCAGAAAGACCCCAGACCTACCAACGCTAAGAGTTCTTGATGGAGGCTGGTGGAAGGTCACCTCTGGAAAGGTGATGGGGCTATCAAGGAGACAGAGAGGACAATGACTATCGGGGGTGGGTGAGGCCCAGAAGGGAAACAGATGGTGTCAGCCCCAACCTTGTGACAGGAACTGTGGTCTCTCAGTGTCCTCAGCTAGGTCTGCACACCCACCCAGGGCCCAAGAGGGGAGCAGTGTCCCCCAAGCTGGGGAAAAGAGAGAGGCAGGGGCCGAGGAGGCATGGAGGAAAGAGTACTTGATGCTCGGATACCTCATGGCTGGGGACTTCCCTGGAGAGAGTCCCAGGCCAACGGACATGTGGACATGATCCTGTCCCACAAGGGCACTCTTTCTGAGGCTGCCTGGAGTGATGACCAGGAGCAAACCCTACGTCCAAACTGGAGGAGGTCCTCAGGACCCTCAGGGAAAATTCTAGTCCTGAGCTACAGTGTGTGATCTATGGGCTGGTCCTGGTCCACAAATTGTTTATGACCTGCCTGCACAAGGTAAATATAGAAATCGGGAGTAAGGATCTTGAAACTTTTATATCAGTTTGACATTGCCTCAAGGTCCAAGCATGTGATTGGTAAACTGGTACAGTTGAACAGGATATAGACCAGCTTGGGTGTCGTCACCCTGTCACGGAGGGCTCCATATGGGGCAAGCTACATGACAGCAGAGCAAAACCATGACATTTGAACATTAGTTGGTCAACTCTAACCCAAAAGTGTATAAACACATGAAAAAATTATTTTTATAATTTGTTATTCTTATAATCATTGAAATTTTCAATCTATCCTTTTAAAAAAATTTAGAGTTTAACATGATTAGATAAGACAGAGTAGTGATTAGCTCATTCAAGGACTACTTAACAACAAAACAAAGTCACTGAGCTTTTTATCAAGAAAAGTCATCTGTTTTCTGAATGTCTCAGTAATAATAAACCAAATGGTGATAGTGGAATTAAATCTAAAGATGCTTTCCCTTCTGAAGTTATTCCAAAGGGTTTGCATTGGTTTTATTTGAAAATGTAATCCTTCACTGTGGTAGGCAGAACAATGTCCGTGTCCTACCTAATCCCAGGAACCTGTGACTGTCACCCTACATGGCCAAAGGGACTTCTCAGATGCCATTAAAGTTAAAGATCTTGAGGTGGAGAGATATTCCGGGTGGGCCCCCTCTAAAGATTAGAATTTAAAAGCAGAGAGTGGGGGCACCTCAGTGGCTCAGTCGGTGGCTCAGTTTGTCAAGTGTCTGCCTTCGGCTTGGGTCATGATCCCAGGGTCCTGGGATCGAGCCCCGAGTCTGACTCCCTGCTCAGCGGAGAGCCTGCTTCTCTCTCTCCCTCTGCTGCTCCCCCTGCTTATGCTCTCTCTCTGTCAAGTAAATGGATGAAGTCTTAAAAAAAAAAAGCAGAGAGTGTTTCCCAGTTGTAGTAAGAGAGAAATGCAGCTGGGAAAGGGCCTCTGGCTTTGAGGACGGAGGAGGGGGGCCACAAGCCAAGGGATGTGGCAGCCTCTAGAAGCTGTGAAAGCTGAAAAGTCCATAGTCTGCAAGAAAACAGGACTTTGGTCCTATAGCTACAAGGAACAAAATTCTGCCCAAGACCTGAATGAGCAAGAAGTGGATTCTATCTAACAGCCTTCAGGAAGGAGCAGAGCCTGCTGATGCCTGATTTTAGCCCAGTGAGACCCCTTCCAGACTTCTGATCTGTAGAACTGTAAAATCATAAATCTGTGAGGTTTTAAGCCACTACCTTTGTGGAGATTTGTGCCAACAGCCATGGGAAATGATGACACTCATCTATAGTATGAGTTTTGTAGTTACAATGAATGAAGTACTAAAACCCAGCGAGTTAGCTGTTGAGATGTACTAGCTAATGAACAAATACATCATGAAAACAAGTGACATTTACATGGAAAACATAAAACCACAAATTCAAAATAAACTTTTTTTAAAAAGAGGATTGAATTATAAACTTTTTAAAAGCAGTCAGTATTTCACATACAAACTCTAATGTGCTGTGGGCTTCTTGTAAAGTAGCAGCTTTGAGTTGCAAAGACAGAGTATCTATCTACAGTTGTCAAACGTTATCGCAAGACTGTATTATAGGTATTTGCTCCTCTGTGTTTTGTTAGTCTGTGGCAAGGAAGGGAGCTTAAACATCCCTTTCTATTGACACATTAGCTCCACATCGTCAGGAATTGGCAATCGAGAAGGAAGATCAGCTCCTGGAACAAGTCAAGCTAGCAAAGTATTTTTCGTGGCAACTTGAAAAATGCACACATACTGCAAACGTAGCTATTCTTTTTATTTTACGTGCAATTTTGAACAGGTTGAGAAGTTTTCCTCTGTCTCGTTTTGCTTCATTGTCAGAAACACAACTAACCCTGAGCTGAAGAGAGCTCTGAAGGGTTGTATTATTGACCAGGGTTTTGAGGCTCCAGTTTCAGGTAGGACTACGTTCTGATGGTTGTAGCTGCTTGGGCAGGAGGACATTCTGGAGCGGCCATTCAGATTAAGGATACTTGCTATAAAAAAGTACCAGCTGACCTCCACCATGTGCTTCTCAAAGTGGTAAAAATTGTGAATTACATAAAGATGAATGCGTTGATTTTGAAATCGTTCTCTATGATGTGATAATGTGGAAACCCTGCATGGTTGTTATTGCATGCTAAGTTCACTGTGATTACCGAGGGGGAGAGTTCTGTTGAGAATGTTTGATCTATGAAAAGGGCTTCTAATGTTTTGGCAAGATTGAAATGGAGTTATGACCAACTTTTTAAAGATGCGAATCACACAGTCAGCCTTGTTTATATTAGGGCTTTGAGGTTATTCCATGCAAGGGAAGAACACAACATATTTTTCAGTGGCTAACAAAATCTCAGGGCAAAAACAAAAGTTGGAGGCTTAGAAGAAGTTTCTATGAGTTGTTACAGCATGTTCTTAATTTGGTAACAATTATCAACAGAACAGGAGATGATTTCGATATTGCATATCTGCAAAAGTACTCATGGAAAAACCTTAATAATTTGATACAATGTTTTCAATTTTATTTTCTGCCAAAAGAAGATATGTGATAGGAAGTTCATAGATCCAGAATCCATTTTTCATCAAAAGATATTTTAAATATAAACATAACTTTATAAGATAAATTTTGGAACTAGCTACTGATGAAGGATTGAGGATGCATTTTGAAAATATAACATCACTCGCTTCCTTTTGTAAAAATTAAAAATAGAAATATTGAGCTTGTGGAAATTGATTTAAAATTCCTGGATTTCTGTCAACATAACTCTGTGAGACCAGTTTTCTATTATAAGTGTATTAAAACAAAACATTTAAACAATTTGAATGTATTTTCTCTGAAGAGTTATGGTGTCTTAGTGTCATTCAGATTAGGTAAGTGAACAAGCAAAAAGAATACTCTTTTGTCACATTAAAATCCTTCAGTGTGGATATACAGGGTGTTTGTTCAAAGTGTGGATGGCATTTAATATGGGAAATTGCTATTTCACTTCTAAGTTTTTGCTCAGTTATGACTGAGGCACAACAACGTTACGACTAGAATGTTCAGCAACTACATCCGTCACTTGCATGCATACATGCAATGAACAACGTGGTCCGTTTTTATAACTGAACTTTTAACCTTGTGGACCATATGGTCTCTGTTGGGACTATTCAACTTCAATCCTGTAGCATGACAATGGCCTCAGCTCATAGATAAACAAATGGGCATGGCTGTGTTCCCAAAAAAACCTTTATTTCTGGACACTGAAATTTGAATTTCCTAGAATTCTCATGTGTCACAAAATCTTATTTTTCTTTTACTTGTTTCCCAACCATCTAAAAACCATCCTTGGCTTTCAGACCTGTTTGCTGACTGCTGATCTGGGCCAGGAGGAATGGACAGCCCAACATGCTACCAACATGGTGGGGGGCGGTTTGTGGCCAGTGGCCACACATTTACTGAGTACCTACTATGTGCCAGGTACATAGTGTGCCTTCTCTAAAAATGCCAGGCAGTCTTGGGCTCCCCTGTGGCCAGGTCATAGGAGCTCAGGCTGGTCAGCATGCTCAAATGATCTGTTTGAGCATCTTTTAGGAGGCTTGTAAATCATCAAGACGGACAGCAAATGAAGTGTGTGTGTGTGTGTATGTGTGTGCACTTGTTCCCAACAGCTTTCCCAGGAGCACTGGATGGGGAGGCTAGGAAACAAGGAGGCACCAGGAGGGAGCGAAGGGACCCCCGGGAAGGGGCTTACCTGGAGACACTGCAAGATAGAATCTTATGGACTTAGAGACAGAGTTGCTGGAAACGTGGTAGATTCTACACCAGTAGTGTCCTGAGTCTTCCTCCTTCAGACCAGTCATGGTGACAGTGAAGACGCCGGTGCTAGGGTTGTCCCAGATTGAGAATCGAGAGGCCTGAACCAGTCTGCCGGGACTGGAGCTGGTGACTAGCCTGGTGCACTTGAACGCTGACAGCTCCTTACACCAGCCCTTCCTCTCGTAGGGCCAGCCCTTGGGGGGGTACTGGCATGTCACAGAGAGCGTCTGCCCCGCCACTCGGTGAAGATGGTGAGCCTCCGGTAGTGCCCACGAGCCTGGAGAGCAGGCTGCAGGTCAGGGTCACACCAGCATCAGCTCCACCAGCCGTCCCCGCGCACAGAGCACTAGTGCCACGTCCCACTGTCCCAAATGTCCTCATAGCACCTTCTCCTCTCTTCCCCACGCTCTTCCCTTCCCCCTCACCTGGGATCAGCAGTGGCAGCAGCAGCAGAAGCAGGAGCAAGGTTCTCCAGACCCTCCGGCCCTTTCCCTGTAGGCTGGTGGCAGGAGACATGGGGACACTGGGGAGAGAGAACCAGGAGCTGGTCTCACTCTGCTTAGCTCTTCCAGTGCTTCCGAGATAGACAAAACGAGAAAGGCCAAGGCCAGCCTGGGGAGTGGGAGACCTGGGGAAGGCTGACTGCACGCAGAGGGAAGCAGAGACCTCCAGGGGCAGGTGCAAAGCTGGACGTGGAGGCAACAGCCCTGCTTGGAGCGTGGCTTCTGGGTCTCCATAGAGGCTGCTCCTCTCCTCTGTGCCCAGCTGCCCCTTCCCCATCAGGACCTGCCCTTGGGGGAGGAGCTGGGATGGCCAGGAGGAAGCTGTGGTCAAGTAACGGGCTGCCCACCCACCTCTCTCTGTGTACTGCCTCTTCTTTGCAGGACCCTGGCTTTGCCCCCCTCTCCAGGGAAAGCCACGCTGAAGGTGGGTGATGAGCTCAGGGGCACTCAGAGGTCTGAGCAAGAACCCTAAATCCCACCGGCCCTGGAACTGGTCAGAAACCTCATGCCCAGTCCTGCCTGGTGAGTCAGTGATGTGTTTCCACCCTGGGAGGTTTTATAGGCGCTGGAGGGGAGAGGACAGCAGGCGGAGTTTCAATACCAGTAAGAAAGTGCAAAGGAGGGGAGAATAAGGCTGGGAGCAAAGAGAGCCGGGCTGGTGGCAGGGATGGGTCAATGAGGGGCGGGGGTGGAGCACAAGAGCCTGGACCCCCAGTCACCTCTAAATCTTCAACTCCTGCCCCCTGTGGGCACAAGAGCGCTGGTTGTGTAATTGCTACACAAACAGACGCAGGACTCCGGCATCTCTTTCTTTAGTGAATGTTAGCACTTTAAAAAATGATGCAATTTACAAAGAGATTTTCTATAAAACAAAAAAGAGAGAGAGAGAGAGAGGTCAAGACACCGCGCCCTGTGCTAACATGTAACTCCACATTCGGCCACCAGGGGCTCTGCCAGTCTAGCAGCCACTGCAGGGAGCCCTGCACAGAGCTCATGACTGAAGAGGGGCTTTGAACCAATTGAGGGTATTGGTTGCACGTCCCCTGTGGCCCCCTGCCCCCTGACTCCTGCTCCCCACTCCACCTGGGTGCAGAGCCCTGCTCCTAGCAGTGGGAGTGAGCAGAGACTGAGGATAAGGGCAAAGGGACAGACGAGAAGAGAAGGGACACAAGAGGGCTGTGGGCTCTCTTGCCTAGAGACTCCCCTGGAAAAGCAGGATGGAGTTGTGGAGCCAGAAGGAAAGTTTGGGCCGACGCCCACTACCCACTTGCATGAGTTAAGTTACTCAGCGTGTTTGTGTGTGCTCTCTCCACACGGGGGAACTGAGGCTCAGATCTGTCCGTGACCCACTCAAAGTCACATGGTGCCATGCAGATGTAACCAGACCAGCTTCCTGACTTCTGACGGGGCCTTTTGCTGAAGCCTGGCCCACAGGGCAGGAAACCAAACCGCACGCACTTGCAGAGGCGAGCTCCCGGCAGTTTGTTTCCTGGCCTTGGGCTGGGCTCTGTGTTTCCTCTCCGAACCTAATAACAGACAAAATGCGGGGGTGGGGGGCACCCTTCTAAGGGGCAGGGGTTTCTGGCCCTGGCTGGTGTAGGTGTGTGTCCCTTGCGTGAGGGTGTGCAGCAACTATTTCCCACAGCAATTTCCCCTTTGTCTGGTTGCTGCTGACCACCGGGAAGGGATGCCTCCTCCCTGCAGCTCCCCAAGATCACTCTTTGCCCACAGTCCACTATCTCTATGTCCCCCCAGCTTGGGGTTGGCTCTGACTTGTTCTCTGCCGATCAGCCTGGGTCTGTAGTGCCCAGGGGACAGGAAGTTTTTGAGCAAACTCCTATACCTCTAAAAGTCTGAGTTTTCTGGAGCGCCTGGGTGGCTCAGTTGGTTAAGTGTCTGCCTTCAGCTCGGGTCATGATCCCAGGGTCCTGGAATCAAGCCCTGCACCGGGCTCCCTGCTCAGTGGAGAGCCTGCTTCTCCCTCTGCCTATTTGTGCTCTCTATCTCTCTGTCAAATAAATAAATAAAATCTTAAAAAAAAAAGTCTGAGTTTCCTCCTTTAATAGATAATGATGGATCACTAATATGATCATTCTGGGAATAAATAAGTAAACCCTTGCAAACATTTACAGAAGTGCCTGTTACATGGTAACTTCATGGTAACTTCATGGTAACTCTTCAGTGAATATCTGTCATCAAGAATCAACATCCACAACATCATATGTGCTTGACTTTTAATTATATATGTAGACATGGAGTAAGCAGTACAACAAACTTCTAAAAGGAAATAAAAATAAAAGTTATGTCATTTAGAGCAGAACTTTCTAATCATGTCCCTGGTGCCAGAAATTATATAGGGAAAAATGCTCAGTCATTCTACATACAGATTAATACTTGGACATGATAAAAGGATATGACAACATTTAATAGCAAATCACAGCTGTGAATTAAGGTTTCCTTCCTATTTGGCAGATAAAGGGTTATTCGATTTCATATGAAAAACAAGTCTTTTAAATAATAAGAGAAAATGAATATTTCAATAGGAAAAGGGAGTGAAGTTATGAACAAGTACTTTTGTACAGAAGAAATACAAATGAACAATGTTAAGGAAAACATATCCAAAGGGGATATTATTAAAATAAAGGCAAAACCACTCTTCTCATCAGATTGACAAGAGTTAAGATAAATGATGATAACCAGGGTTGGAGGACTTTTAGGGAAAAGACAATTGCATATTCTGCTGGGTAAACATATTGATACCACCTTTCTGAAGGACAGTGTAGTCAGATTAACCCAAATCTACTTTAAAAAAGAAATCAGCTTTGAGGGGGGCACGTTCTGCGTGGAGCACTGGGTGTTATGCACAAACAATGAATCATGGAACACTACATCAAAAACTAATGATGTAATGTATGGTGATTAACATAACAACAAAAAATTATTTAAAAAAAAAAGAAATCACCTTTGACTCAGCAGTTCTAAATCTAGGAATTGAAAAAGGGTACAGTGGCTGTTGCAGTATTATTTTGTTTTAAAATTTCATCAAAATCATGCTTATACATGTCTTCAAAACTTGTAGCTCCAAAAATTGTAGGTTATAAACTCATGTTAATAAAAATGCAGTAGTTCTATGCCCAAACACTCTACACCCCAGCTCTCTTTCTTGCTAGGGAATCACTGTTTTTTTTTTTTTTTTTTTTTTTTTAAGATTTATTTGTTTATTTGAGAGAGGTGAGTATGTGCACGAGCAGGGGGAGAGGCAGAGGGAGAGATTCTCAAGCAGACTCCCCGCTGAGCACAAAGCTGGCTGCAGGACTTGATCCCACTCCCCATGAGATCATGACCCGAGCAGAAACCAAAAGTAGGATGCTCAACTGACTGGGCAACCCAGGCACAGCCCCCAGGGAGTTTCTTTTAAGTAGTTTTTGTATTTACTGTTATACCGATATTTCTCTACGAGACAGGGGTTCGTATTATCCATGAAATGTGCCCTATGGAAGATGAGGTTTTCTCTCTGTCCCATCATGCCCCTGCCTGTCCCTTCCTCCACCTTTATTCTCCAAATAGTCAAATGAGTTACTGATAAAATTAATTTTTAGATTTTATTCTTCCTGACCATGTATATGTCTTTTTCATAACCCAGTCATATAGTTCATAATGATTACATTTCCTCTGTGGTACAGCCTTTTATTTTCCATGTAGTTATTAACTGCCTTAATTTTAAAGTTTATATTCTAGCCACCATCATCAATTCATCCCTAAACTTTATTCCCAAATGTAAATTTCACCTTAGTGTATTTGAATATATCAGTTCATCAGCTGGCTCTGTTCCTCTGGTCCATCCCCAGGTGGTCTAATGTCCTCTGGCCCCAGTCTGGACTAGCTTCCCCCTAGGCCTTCAGTAAAGTTGCCTCCCTGACATATCCCTTGGCCTTTTCCTTGGAAATGCCCTTGGGAATGCCGGTGGCCATATCCAGTGTTGAAAATGCTCTCTTTCTCGACCCCACATCTAACTCTTTCTTTGTTTGCTCTCTCCTTTTAGGGCAAGGGTTGGCGAACTAGAGCCTTTGAACAAAATTGAACTCACGACCTGAATTTGTAAGTAAAGTAAATGCAGGCGTGCTCCTTCATTTATGTGTTACCTGGAGAATCTGTCATGCTCCGATGGCAGCTGAGGAACAGTGACAGAGATCCTCTGACCCACGAGCACAGGATATTTACTATGTGGCCCTTGACAGGAAAAGCTTGCTGACTTGAGAAATGGAAGATGACAAAGAAGAGAGAAGCAGCCAGCGTGTGATGGTGTCCCTGAAGGAAAGGCCAGAAGCATGAGAATGCAAGCAACAAATGTAGGCTGAGTGGGAAAAAGAATTTCTTAAGTGCTGGATGACAAATGTGATTTTCCGTTAGTAATCGCTGAGAAAGGTACAAACTATCAGAACACGGGCCAGATTCAGCTGGAGTAACAAAGAACCCCAGTTCAGTGTGTTCACACAAATAATGTCTTTTCTTGCTCCTGTGAAGCCCACGTGCCCAGATGACTGTCCAGGGCGGGAGTCTGCTGTGGGCCGGTTCAGCATCTGAGGGACATTGACTTCATGGATGTGCACATCAACACGAGCTTCTCTGGCCATCACCACAGGGAAGAGAGTGCTGGAAAGTGGAGCTCTTGCTCCTCAATGGCTCTGTGAGAAGTGAGACACATCACTCCCACACATTGCACTAGCCCGGCAGGTCGCCAAGGAGCTGAGAAACAGGAGTTTTCCATTTATGCAGAGGTAAAGGGGAACCAAATACTGGTCAGCAATAGTGATGCCTGTCACACACTTCTGTAAGAAAAATCCTGCAAGTTCCAGAGCTGGAAGGAAGAGACAGTTACTTCCAAAGGAATGAAAAATGAGTCTCATTGGCTTCAGAGCTTCCTGCTGCAACACCAAATGTCAGAAGACAAGAAATTGGCTTCTGGGGCACCTGGGTGGCTCAGTTGGTTGGATGTCTGCCTTTGGCTCAGGTCATAGTCCTGGGATCGAGCCCCGCGTTGGGTTCCCTGCTCAGCGGGGAGTCTGCCTCTCCCTCTCCCGCTCCCCTTGCTTATGTCTCTCCTTGCTGTGTAGGGACAACCAGACCGTGTTACACATGATAGCAACCACATCCCTCTTGGACAAAAATGATTTGAATATTGGCTTCAGTTCACTGCTATTTAATTTTTTTAAAAGGGCCAAAAAATGGTGGTGGTAAGCACTGAGATAAATCCAAAGAAAGAGAGGTTTAAATAATTATTGCATCCTGGTGATAAAGCTGACCAAAAATGATGTCATTGTAAAATCGTATTTTGTAATTGTTTGTTTTTTGTAAATATATGTGCAATTAATATTTGTATGTAGATCTTATATCTGGCTAAATTAATAATCCATTATTTCTAATCATTTGATTATTCATTTATGATTTATATATATTGAATTGTAACATAAATAATAAATTTACATCAGTGTAATTAAATATAAATTTAAAACATGAATATCATGTGAAATATTTTATAAGAATATATTTATATTTAAGTATGTATACATATAAAATATATAACATAAACATATAGTGAAAAATAAGACTGTCCATCCAGAAAGGTGAAAAAATTTAAATATGATGAAATGAATAAATGCGCTGTTGGAAAAAGATTTTTAAAAGGAAATACTTCTTTTTTTTTAAAGATTTTATTTATTTATTTGAGAGAGAGAGAGAACAAGCAGGGGGAGCTGCAGAGACAGAGGGAGAAGCAGACTCCCCGCTAAGCAGGGAGCCTGACTGGGCAGGGGGCGGAGCTCAATCCCAGGACCCCAAGATCATGACCCAAGCTGAAGGCAGATGCTTAACTGATTGGTACCTCTAAAAGGAAATACTTCTATGTTCCTTTGGGAATGACAAATTAGTTGAAATCACAATTATGAAATGTATAGGGGCTCCTGGTTGGCTCAGTCAGTGGAGTATATGACTCTTGATCTTGGGGTTGTGAGTTCGAGCCCCACATTGGGTGTAGAGATTGCTTAAAAATAAATCTTAAAAAAAACTTAAAAAACACCAAATATGAAATGTATTAGAAAACATACAAATTATTGAATGTAATTCTATAATCACAAAAAGTAAAAATCCTGATTGGATGACCTATTAGTTTCCTAGAGCTAATGTAGCAAATGACCACAAACTGGGTTACTTAACGGAAATGGAGACATGAAGTCTGACATCAAGGTGTTAGGGCTACTCTCCCTCCAGAGGTTCTAGGGAAGGATCCTTCCTTGTTTCTTTCAGCTGCTGCTGGCTGTCAGCCGGTGGCCCCATCATTCCCATCTCTGTCTCCTAGTCACGTTACTTGCTCTGTGCAAGACTCTGTCTAATCGCCTCAGCCTCTCTCTCCTATAAGGAGGCAGGTGATTGCATTCAGGACCCACAAGAGAATCCAGTATAAAGGCCATTTCTCAAGACCCTTAATTTAATCACATCTTTTGCCATAGAGAAGGGCAATACTCATAGGTTCTGGGGACTAGGAAGTAACTATATCTTTGGGGGTCATCTCTTCTGCCTTCTAGAGATGAATTTTTTTTTCTAAATGAAAATGTGAGTTAGAATTAGGTCAAGATTTAAAATCATCAGCTGACAACTGACCATGGATGATACTTGTATGGGTGTTAAAAAATCCGCCTACAAATCAGCCTAGGTACTGATTTAGGTGTGAGTCCCGACATACTTGCAAGAGACAGATGATGCTTATCAAATCTGAGTTGTACAAAGAGGCAAAAAGATGAAATGCTTCCTGGCAGGTTATAACAAGATAAAGAAAAAGTTTAAATTCTTGTAAAAGCTTGACCCCCCCCCCAAAAAAAGGCCAAAATTAAAAAAAAGTGTGTATAGCAAATTAAAGACAGGAGTATATGGAAAGAATAATAAAAATCATGACTAAATCGCTTGTATTATGTGAATACAATGTGTTTGGCTATCAAAGTTAGGTCAATGCTTGATTCTATTTCAGTAAGTCAAAGGAGAAAATTATATGAAGATATTGATTGATTGCAGAAAGGCATTTGGTAAAATTCAACATCCATCCTAGACAAATCTTATACTGTTCTATAAATAGGAAATTGCTTTCCTAATAAAGAAATGGTTTAGTGAATTAATCAGCTAACATCACACTAGGAAGAATCATGTTAAAGGCTGAGATCAAGATAAAAGCACTCAATGTCAAAAGTATCGTTTAACGTAGGAAGTTTATTGTTTATTATTTAACATCTGGAAGTACCAGCAAATGTAATTACATAGGAAAATAAAATTGGACACATAAACTTAAGATAATAGGCTAAATTACCATGATTTGCTGGTTGTGTAGTTATCTACTTGAAAAACTCAAGGATATTTGCTGAAACCCCATACAAACCAAAGGAGAGTTGTCAAAGAAAAAACAAAGCTGGGCAGCAGCTAAAGCGGTGAAAAGAGATTTTATTTAGGAACTATTGCAGTCGGGAAAGGGAGACATCAGTACAGAATTGGGCTCAATTTGGAATACAGCACAGGCCAGTGGGGATTTATAGCCAGAATGCAGGTGGGGGTCAGGGGATGGAAAATTACTGAGAGGAAACATCAGGAGTAAGGGGGAGGGGTGCTGGCTAAACTGACTCCACCTAATAGGACTCTTTGCTGAGGACAGGCTGGGGGGACCAGACATCACTGGGCCATGGCGGAGGATGAGGAACTCCATCAGATATTGATATTAGGGATATCCATGTCTTCACCTGCAAGGTGGGCTGCACCTACTGTCCCTGGGCCCTGGAGAACACAGAATTCATGCTGAGCTTTAGAAGGAGCATAGAACAGTAGAAAAATCAGGGTTCTTGCTAAAACTGGACTTTACGAGGAAGTGCATTGATGGGCCTAGGAGAAGGTTCAGGAGCCTCACCAAAGTTTGGTCAAGCAAAGACTCCTTTCTCAGAGTTTGTTCATTCATTCACATGTACTTTCAGCAAATATTTGCTAAGATCCTACCATAGGGAATAGATGAGACAGCACGCAGTCATGCAGCTTATACAGAGAAGGGTGTTTGGCAGGATGGGGAAGGCAGAAAGGAGAGAGGAAATTAATATGCAAGTAAACAATAACCAAGTCATAGTAAAAGTAAGCACTACGTGGAAAATCATAAGATAGTCAATATTTGGGGCACCTGGGTGGCTCAGTTGGTTAAGCGACTGCCTTCGGCTCAGGTCATGATCCTGGAGTCCTGGGATCGAGTCCCACGTCGGGCTCCCTGCTCAGCAGGGAGTCTGCTTCTCCCTCTGACCCTCTTCCCTCTCGTGCTATCTCTCATTCTCTCTCTCAAATAAATAAATAAATAAAAATCTTTAAAAAAAAAGATAGTCAATATTTAATTAAACATTAAAAATAAATAACCATCCATTATAACAACAGTAATCATTTCAGACACAGAAACATTTGATAGAATTTGCCAGTGAGAGCATCCGGGTCTCTAGCTTCAAGAGAGGCTGAGAGATGGGTTTTTAGCAAGACCAAATGCCACAAATATTTAAGAAAGAAACAATTCCAAATTGAAACTCATAAAATAGACAACACATCCCAGCTCATTTTATAAGGCCGGAATTACCCTGGGTACAAAAATTAGAGAAAGGAATTAGAAGCCAGGAAAATGACCAATCAATATCCCTCATGACCACATGTATCCTGAGCAAAATATTAGCATACTGCATTAATAAACACAAAAGATACCACGCCCGCATCAGACGGGGTTTTCCTGTGCAGCGGCCTGGGGGGTCTCGGGGCTGGGTGAGGTGGATGACAGCAGGTGGGGCACTGGCCCCCTGAGTGGGGACCCGAGAGGACCTCACATCCGAGCAGATGGCAGCCTGAGGGACAAAAGGAGGAAAAGGGGAAAGTCTGATCTGGTAGGAAGCTAAACACAACAGAACGACCGTCCCTCATTCTGCCAGCACCAGACTTGTCTTAATGGTTTCACTGATGAGGGACTTGCGTGCTTGAGTCAAAGGAAGGCCAAGTTCATTTCTTTAAATGATGGCTCGGGGTGCCCCCTCCCCACATGTGTTTGAACTATTATCATGGTCAAGATGGGAAAAAATAGAAAAATAATTGAGAGAAACCCTTCAAGGTACTTGTATTTCCTCTATTGTAGAATATTGTAAAACTTTGATAAACAATGACCTTTGAATTAATGGTGCTAGAGTTTCATGTCGGTCCCAAATTTGTGTCAAACTGGAAAGTTATAAAAAGCTTTCAAATACATGGTTTACTTTGTCACCAAACCCGCCAGGCCTTTTTCAGTTTCTGGAATCCTTGCCTCCTCCTTCCACCTAGAAGACAAGAGTTATCCACCAGGGAACCCCCTGCCCCATGCAGCGTCTTCCCCTGCGGGGCACGCTGAATGCCCTGTACCCAGCCGCTGGAGGAGACAGAAGCTCTGCTTTAAGCAGAGCTTTTGAAAGTGTGGAGGAGTGATCAGCCTGATCCTGTGTGTGTGTGTGTGTGTGTGTGTGTGTGTGTGTGTTCGGGAGCCAGGAGTGGTCAGAGGGGTTGGGAAAGAAATAGCTCAGATCCACTTAACCCGGAGACACCTGGACCTGAGCATTCTCCTGGGCTGCAGGAAACCTCTGCAGGGGACCCAGACCAGAGAGCCCCAGGTGGGAAGACACAGGGAAAAAGCAGGGAAGGCCATTAGAGGTTTACCAGAGCTATTGACCTCATGGGCTCAATGGAACAAAAAGGTGTAATATTCCTATTTTACAGTCAGGGAAATGGAGTCCCCCCTCTCCCTGCACCCATGCTGAGAGGGAAGAGGAGGTCGAGCTGCCCTTCCTTACCCTTCCTGGGACTGCTGTGGTCTGAGCTTCTCCATTTCTTCTCCTGTCCCGAATCCTGGGTTTGGAGGAAGAAGGCAGGTCCTCTCTAGATGGTCATCAGAGTGGGATTCCAGAGGTAACAGGGGCCACCCAGGGCTATTTCCTTTACCAGGGCCACCAACGGTGCCATTCCCTGACAGTGAACCCTAGTCCCACACTTCCTGGCCATCTCCCAGAGCCCGGTTCCCACAGAGCCCGGTGACCTCACACTTACTCAATCAGACTCCTCCTGGGAGAGCCAAACCTCTGAAGAGGCGACCCTTCTCAGGATTGGGGACCAGAGACTGATTTGGGGTTCCTGTCTCTGCAGTTTCCATCCCCGGGGATGCCACTGCCACTGAGCTCTGACAGGTCTGAAGGCCCAGATGCTGCGCATCGTCTGTACCCATGGGGAGTCTAGGACCCCAGGCTCTGCTGGAGGGTGTTCACCCCACAGACCCTGGTGGGGAGCCCACAGCGCAGAGAAATGGCGATTCCACCCGCCAAGTGCTCCCTGTCTGCTGCGAAGGGAGGGCCTCCTTGTCTCACAGCAAAGAGCAGGTTAGAAGGACTGAGGACCACAGGGAGGGCAGTGTGGGAAGGAAGACGGTGACCTTGGGAAAGGGAAGACTCCAGGAGAACGTCTCACCCGGTAATGGCGCGCTCCGGCCAGCAGGGGGCAGGGCAGCCCGTTTGTTCCAGCAGCGCTCTTCTGCCCACGGCTGTGGCGCGAGGAACAGGTCCCCTGAACCGGAGTCAAGCAAGTCATGCGACAACAGCCCACCTCCCGCTGGGGTGCCTGCCCTGCCGGAGGGCGAAACCAGCTGCAGAAGGAGCTCTGCAATGCCACCGGGGAACCTTAAAGGAATCACCAAGACTCCTTGTGCCTCAGTTTCCTTATGGTGAAAGGGGGGTAGTGATCACTGCTTCACAAGGATTTTGTGGAAATGAAATTAAACCAGGGGTTCCCAGACTTGTCTGCACACTGAGATGACATGGGGAGCCTCACCACACTGGGCTAGGTTCTTTGGTCTGGGTGGTGGCTTAGGCCTGCACATTTTTTTCCATAAGCCTGAGGTGATTAAAGGTACAGACAAGTTTGGGACTTCCAGAGTTAAATACTCCTGTGACCAGGCTTTGTAAACTCTAAGTTGCAAATCTGGTTTTTCTCTTTTTCCTGAAGTCTCTTTTCCCCCTATTTTGTTTTCCTAAAATTGAAATTCCATCCCCTCTCTTCTCATACTTCCTGTATAACCTCTCAAAATGGAAAACTCAGATTTCCCTCACAGTCTGAACCCAGGCTACTCAGACATTCCCTCCTACCACGTGTACAAAGTTTGTCCAAAGTGCCCCGAGTAAAAACCTCCTGAACCAAGGGAGATAGGCAGGGTGCCGTGAGTCCAGGGGAGAGTCGGGTCCGAGGCCCTAGTATCTTCACTCTTCCCCCCAGTGGGATCACCGTCAGAGGGGGACAGCTCAGGCACCTGCAGGGCTCAGCCAGCCCAGGTCCAACTTAGATAAAATCCTTAGTGGCTTCAGCCCATTGTTTCATGTTTACCTATACTACCATAGTCATGGCGGTACAGAAGGGAAATATACTTTGTATCCACAATCGTGTGGAGCCCTTGTGATCTTCATATAAACCTACTCAGGAAAGAGACCACTACACATGAAATAATGTGGGATTTGGCATTCGGGTGTTAAGTACTGAGCCATACTTGGAGCTGATGATCGGGGTGCGTGAGGGGGTGCAGTGAGAGTCGGGGAGCTTGCCTTGGGGTTGCATGGCCTGGGGATGTTTTACTATGGTTCCCATTAGTTGCAATGAGATCCAGGCTCATAGTGTACATCTTGGGGGGCTATGAGAGTCTATGAGTAAGTGTGCTTATGTCATTTCAACCATGCTCCCTCCACGCCAGGGGCTCTCTGCTCTCCCTGGGGGCACAGGTACTTAAGGGCGGCTCAGGCCTCAAAGAGTCCCTACCTGCCTTGGGTCAGTTCTCTCCTGGCTTTTGGAGATGGGTGGAAAAGCCAGGCCTCTGAAAGGATGAAGTGAAAGGAACCGAGATTGAAAGAAGTAGGGTGGTCTATTTCCACCTAGCTTTCCCCTGTAAGTGCTGGGTGGGGTGTGGGGTGGGCCTGGGGAACCCAGAGCAGCCCCCGTGCCTGGAGCACCCGGCTGAGTGAGGCTGAAGCTGGAGATGCCCCCAGCAGCTGGAGGTTCCCACAGGGGGCCCCCACCTTCCCGCTGCCCGCAGAACCCGCCCTGCAGGGCTCACACGTACTCAGTCAAGACCTCTCCTTTCTCAGGCTTGCCCTCGATGTGCCGGGGCATCTGGGCAGAGTCGGGCCTAGCTCCTGGGTCCCTCCGTCCTGTAGCCGCCCTGCACCCTTCACTCCAGGCACCCTCGCACGGGGACAGGGCAGTATGACCTGGGAGGCCCTACACCTGCCGCTGGTCCTGCTGCCGTTTGCCTCGGGCAAGGGGCCTTCAGGAGGAGGGTGGCTCCGGGGGGACAGGGCAAGGGAGGGAGGGAGGTTGGAGGTGAGTGGATGGGGTGCAGTGTGCTATGGGAGGGCGGGACAGGGAGGGCTGGAGCGCTGTCTGGGGGCATGCTTTGAGGGTGGCTGTGTCTCCTTCCTTAGCCTGACCTGAGAACTTGTTTTCTAGGCTCCTGGGCACAAGTCCAGGAGAATGAGCTGGTGTGGGCGGTTCAGCAGCAGGTGGTCTCTGTGAAATGCCCGTCCACGCCCCCGGCAGGTGAGTATGAGAATAAAATCTGGTGTAAGGAAACCAAGCCAGGTTATTGTTTGAAGCTGGTCACCAGCACCAGACCCCAGGTAATGGCTCAAAACCCTCCACATTTTATCTGGGACAACCCTTCTGCTCGCTTCTTCATTGTCATCATAACAGAAATCATGAAGAAGAGTTCAGGAACCTACTGGTGTGGAATAGACAGAGGTCCTAAAGAGAGCGTCTATATTCTCAAGAACATCAGCCTGGTGGTGACTTCAAGTGAGTTCTTTGCGGAGGGCAGGGGCCTTCCTGGGGTGTCCGGGGAAATGAAGCAACTCACCTCCTTCCCCTGCCTCCCTCACCCAATTCTACCACTTCCGTGCTCGCTCCCACTGTGGGCAGTTCGGTCCCTAGTTCCCATATTCGGGCCATCACCTCTATCCTTGGGTGTTCTCTCCCAACAGGTATAAGCTAATTTGGGGCCCATTGGGTATAGCTCCCCAGTTCACATGATGGCTCAGACACAATCTCACCCACTGATCCCCAGAATTGGCCACCCCATGGGGGTACAGGGTATCTGTGTGGGGCCCTGGGCCCTAGGTCACCCCCTGACTGGACATGCTGGTTGTTCAGGACCTGGGTCCAAGGCAAGACTAGAAGGGTCTCGAGACTCTGATGGTGAAGAGGCCAGGCCTTTGGGACAAGAGGTCTGTGCTCTCTCCACAGGAATGCTCCTGACTCTCCCTGCCCTTGGGGGTTTGGGGACCCAGTATGAGGCTTCTCTCTCAGCCCAGGCCTCTCCCGGCCCCTGCCTCTCTCTTTCCACCAGCTCTGAGAAGTTCTGTGTCCTTGGACCCCAGTCAGCCCTGGCCTGGGGGGGGGCCCCGGGGGCTAACTCTGGCCACTCCCCCTCTTCCTGTCAGGCTTTGGGGGCTGACTTCTTCTCTGGGGACTCTAGGCCTTCTCTGTTGTCATCAATCACACTTGCTTTTCTAGTGACAACCAGTTCAACCTTCATCAGTGACTCTGATTACTGGTAGGTCTGGGGTCTCACCTAAAGGGAGGGGGCTGGGAAGCTGATGACTTGTGTGGAATCTGAGTCAGGAGATCAGGGGGCCATAGAGGTCTGAAAGGGGCTCCAAGGTCTCAGCTCAGAGCTGGGCTAGGTTGGCAAGGATGAAGGAGTGGCTCTAAACTTCCCCCATGATGGAGCAGAAATAGCTACATATCAGGAATGCAAGAACTTCTATTAGTGCTGATTCACAGGCAAGAGAAATGAGGTCCATCCAGAGTCACTCAGCTACTTCAGGGCGGTGGCAGGACCAGGATCCAGGCCTTCTGTCCTCTGGTGCAGGGCTCCTGTGGAGTTCAAACATTCTCCAGGGGCACCTCTGGGTAGTCCCCTCCCTGGTTTGCCTATTACAGCTCTGGGGGCTCTCTCCCTCTGCTTTTTCTTCTGCTCCCTATCCATTGGAGCTGTGGCACGCCCTGATAGTGTCACCCAGAGAAATGACAACTCTGATCATTTCTTTTCTCCTTTCCAACCTCTCCCTCCACCCAAGTTTCCTGGGTTCTCATGATTTTGTTCCAGGTGATCCCTGTGGCTGACCCCAGTGAGCTCAGGGTGGGGCTGGCCCATAAACCGGCTCCAGCCCCATGCTGAGTTCAGGGGCTGCTCTCCGCAGCCTGGATCCTCCCCTCCTTCTTCCCCCTTCTCCCATAGTTTTTTGGGCGGCACTTTTGTGATGCTGTTGTGTGCATTCCTCGTGACCAAGATCTTGGCTTTGACAGCCCTCCTCCTGTTTCTGACCTACAGAGCCCAGGTGAGTGGGGCCTGGGCTGGCTTGGGGGACAGGGGAGCGGGGGAAACTTCTCTCCTGGGAGACAGGTACTGCAGGACAGAAGTAGCCAGGAGTCACACAGGGGGCATTGTATCCTTTGTAAGTTAGACCAACTTAAATGTTCTTTTACCTCGCCCGTCTCTGCACACGCATTTGGTTATTATAAGCCACCATTTTCTTGGACATTCAAACTCATGCCCTTGGGTCATGTCCACCCCCAGCAGCTGGGTTGTCCAGTTTTGAGGCCAGCCTCAGGCATCCTCCTTAAGTGACCCTCAGGTGTGCACACAGAGGTACCAGACACATGTGCACACATGCACAGGTATTCATTCCCTCTGTCAGAGACCACACCTACCCAACCTGAAGTCCCTTCTAAGGGTCCCCCTCCCACCACCACCAAGACTTCAGCTCACACTCTAGAGCTCCCACCCCAAGACTTTGTCTCATTCTGTCCTGAAGAGGGAAGTGTGGGCAGGGAGAAGAAGCTGAGGATCCGACAAGAAGGAGAGACTTCAGGAATGGAAAGGGGATGGGGCCGGAAGTGGGGCAGATGAAAGAGGGGAGGAACAGCCAGTGAGTGTGTTTCTGAGCCCCCTTCCCCGCTTCTCAGGTCTCCACCAGCACCATGGGAGTAGCAGCAATGGCTGCCCCCAGCCCCACCAAGACCCGAGAGCCCTTGGGCACTCCCCACTGAGCCTGGACTTCCCCCACCTCCTCCTGCTCCATCAGGACCACTAAGATCTGGAGCCTCCGAGACAAGGCCGTTCCTGTGTCTCTGGAAGACACCTCCCAACACCTAACTCCACTATCTACGCTATGGCGGTGCCTCTCG